ATCTGAAGCCATCTTATTTCTAAATTAGACATTTCACTTCCATTTAACTTCATCTGTCCTCACCATCATCATGTAAAATGCTGAACGCTCCTGGCACTCCCCCTGCCCCCACAGCACCTTAGGGCCACAGCACCGGGGTCTAGCCTGGCTGCAGCCACCCACAGGCACCTGACCTGGATGCATCCCACAGACCCTTTCTTCTGGTCACACCAGGTATAGAAGCAAGAACTGCCCCCCACCCCCGTGACACCTGCCACCTCCACCCGGCCAGATCCCCGTCACAGGAGCCCAGCTGCACAGCCTGCCCCTCTGCTTCCTGACTCAGGCATGGAAAGATCCAGAGAGACAGGCTGACCACTGACCCCGCACTTGGGCATAGCAAATGGAGCTGGAGTGTGGGTGTCCAGGAACCCAGCCAGGCCAGGCCACCGGCCAGGCCCTTCCCGCCTCCAGGGCGCCATACCAAGCACAGGGCAGCAGGCCTCACACACCCTTCAGAACAAGCCTATTGGCTGGAAAGCCAGCCTCTCACATGGATTTTCCATGCTTGCTGCCCAAGTTTTCCATTACTAGGACTTTGCTTAGGTAATACTTATCATACATTCCTCACAAATCTGACTGCTCAGTGGGGAAGATAAAAGCCAGTGGGGAAGTAGAGGAACAAGAAGTCTACTCTTTGAAGGATTCAAGTTTCATTAATTACTTATCTTTCAGAATTATTTTCTCTTAAACATGAAAATAAAAGAAATGAATGAGATAATCGGGTATTTCTGTACAAATGACATTTACTATTTTCTAACAAGAAAGAAAAGAGCCCCTGTCCAAAGTTGTCACAAGTTGTCTATCTGTACATGTGTGTGTGATCTGTGGTGTGTGGTGTGATATGGTATGTGTGTGATGTATGGTATGATTTGGGTGTGCAGACACACATACTAACACATTTTCTTTGTGTTACATAAAAAGACAGATGACACACTTTCCAGATCAAATGAATTTACTCTCAAAAGAATTTCCTAAACTGTTTTCAAACCATGTGGATATTATTTACAGGTAAGCCACCCATACTATGAGATTTTTCAACAATTTTAAGAAAAAAAACAACCTTTAAAGTTCTACTCCATATCAAAGAGCAATTTTTCAATCTAGAATTAAAACAAACTCAATCAATCCCACTGTGATAATATGTGATGACCACATTTGAAATAACTTTTCTGATGACTGCTTAGTGTGACCTTTGCTCGTAAGAATAGTGTCAAAGGAATACAATGCTAAGAAAAAGAAGATTCAAGACACTTTTGCGGACACTAAGGCAAGTGAAAAGAATACCAATTAAGAATAAATTTTAGAGTAAATGCAGTTCATCAAGACCATCTGTAAAGAGCAACAGAATATTTATAAATAAAATGAATAATTTTTACCACCCAAAATATCACATTCACAAATGGGAGAAACAAAATACTGTTTAAAGAGTTCTGGTAAAAACAAGGCCTGGTTCTAGCTAGCATACCAGGATGTAATTCAGTAGCTCTCTTGACGGCTAAAATCTCTTGTGAATAGCTCATGACTTAGATTGTCAGTAAAGGCACCGTCCTTGGCGGCCTGAAACCCGCGTGAGGAGCAGCTAGCATGCACATGAGTGGTGCCAGCACCTTCTTGCTGCCCACTGATGGTGATCAGAGCTTCTGAGGGGCAGCTACAGGCACTGCTCCCCACGAGGGTCTCCTGAATCTTGCCATGGGCACTCGGGGGCCCTAACTATGGCCACTTCTTACCCTGTTTTGAGTCTGTGGTGTGCTGTGCTATAAGAAGGAGCCCCCTTGGGGAACCCGGGGCTAATGGCTAGCCCACTGCAGCCCGCACACTAGTGCCTTGCATTTGGTGGCTCAAGGCTGTATCCCAAGGCTGTGATAGTCCCCAGACGGCTCTTCTGCTCAGCCTGTGGCCATCCTCAAGAACTGACTCCCTAACTGTTCATGTCCATCCTTCCCAACCTGTTGGCTCTGTGCCCTGTGGTAGACACCTGAGCATTGCCTTTGAGAGCTGCTAAAGCCCAGCAGGGGCTCCCAGGGGCACTCAGGATCCAGACAATTTGGACTCTCGGGCAATGGAATTTGAAGGTGGGCAGCAGCATAGTCAGTCTTCTGTATTTCTATCTGCTCATCAGCTCCAAATTTAAAATGGAATTCCAATGAAAGTGTTCCGTGTTCTTTGCTGTCAGATTTTCCTTTTCTGTCTCTCAAGGGCGTGTTTTCTTGTTCTTTCCCTTTTGTGCTACCAGAAGAAAAATCCAAGTGTCAGGCACATGTAGTAAGTACGAAGGTGTCATCAGTGAGGCCTCTAGCATAGATGCCACCCTGGAGGCTGATGACGGAGCCTTCCTTCTGAGCACGGCCTCATGCTGTCATCAGCAGCAGACTCCAGCCATGGTGCACAGCACTAATTAAACACGCTCTCAGCTCTGAATTCTGCTGCTCAGGAACTTCTTCCATTTTTAATTTGTATACCCCTCATGAGTCAATACTACAACCTACTGCTCAAATAGTTTGATGTTTCCTAGATTATCAAAATCCACCAGACTTCTGTATTTTACAGCTTCCATTTTAATATAAGTTGATTAAGTTTAAATATTTTTAATAATAATTAAAGTATCCTGCTGTTGTCTATAGGTAGGTATTTCTATCGGGGTGGGGGGGAATCTGTCATTACACAGCATATGAATTAAGGTTGGAAACATTTGGAGGCTTTCCTTACTTTATAAGTAAATTTAGATCAAAGAGACTAAGTTCTTTCTCAAACCCTAAGCCTTAAGATTTCATAACTGGTAGACAATCATGGTACAAAGATTGGCCCTTTCCATTTATCAGAGATCTTTTAAAGTAAGGATAACAATAAAACTACTCACAAATCAGCAAATAATACCAAGTTAAGACTTTTTTCAAGAAAATAAGTTCATGGTTTTAAGGTCGGCATGGGCAATGTGGAAATCTGCGCCAACAGAGGGCCACGTGAGAGTGAGACCCACACATGTGCACGACAAATCGTCCTCCTCGTCTGCTCTCCTTTGCGGTGTGACTGCAAACGTCTCTGGGGAAGCCTGACTCCACTGCTCACCACTAAGGATGGGCCAGGTAGTGGCACGAAGCATGAACTAGCCATGTTCTTTGCCCCCAGGTCACTGCAACCCTTTCCTCAAAGTAAAGTGTTCACCACAAGACTCTGGCCCTGGGCAGACCCAGCCATCCACCTATCTGAGCTCTGCTGCTGCAGGGAGAGTACAGCCTGACATCAGCAGAGCAGCCCAGGGGAGCGCTCCAGTTTTAGTATGCTCCTCACTGACCTTTAGAACTGAGCATCTGCCTTCATTCTTCAAAAAGCAAAAGCAAACCCTTAAGCAAAGTGAATGATTTCTTTGTTTTTAAGGGAAAACTTTACAAGCACAAGTTTTGAGAATTCTCTCTCCATTTGAAAACATGACAGGTACAGAAAGCTTTATCAATGTCTATCTGATTTAAATGTAGGCTTGTTGTTTTTTTTTTGGGTAGCAGTTATATCAATATGCTAGAAGTAATATACTCTGGAGTCACTTCTTCACCCAATGGTTGCCAGGGTTTCTTGTTTGGTTTTGCTTTTTATTTTTCTTTTCTCTTTGTTTTTGGCTCCTGGTTATATAATTCAAAGGCGTGCAAGAAGAATATTCATTTTCTTTTTATAATACATTCAACCACATGTGCATATTTTATGCTGATCTATAGCCCTTTTATAAAATGTATTAATTCATTTTTCAGAAGCTAAGAGGAAGATTAAATTAAAAGCAGCCTCATAAGGAGATGCCCCATTTTTAACACTGATGATCACATTTCTTTGTCACTATTTTTTAGACAAAGATAATTCACAAAACTAACTGCTTCCTTGAATATTTTGGCTCCAAAATTACCAAGATACAATACTGTACTTGAGGATGTGTTCTGTTGGATGTTTAAACTGGATCTGTGACCAATATGTACAGACCAGGCACCCTGTAGGTTTCTGAGTGATTGACAACATTGTGCAGACAGTTTTGTGTCTTGTTTTGTTTTAAACACAAAGCCATGCGTTGGAGTGACAGGACCGAAATAATGCTGCTTTGACCCCCTTCCCGGTCTGGTGGGTGTCTGCCCAGCTGTGGGGCACTGGGAGAGCTCGCTGCTGCCCGACAGGCAGTGCATCAGTGTGGTGCATGGACGGAGGCTGCATATTTGCTCCTCAAATATCATAAAACACTGCATAAGGGAGGAATTTTATGGGCCTCATTGGGCATGATTGTGTAATTCTTTGTGTGGGAGGAAAAATCTCCCTCCAGCCTGTGGCTCTGGCGCTCGGTGCTCAGGCCCCCTTAGCCTATTTCAGTGGAAGACCACAGTACTCGGAGAAGCCGACCCAAATGTTCCTATTGCGATGTAAACCAAAACCACGAGGTGTGGAAGGAAAGGCAGACACCAAAGAAAACCTTGCTGGGTGAGAAAGTACACCGTCTTATATAAAGCAAGACAGCCTTAAGTCTGCACTGCAAGGAGCTGGGAATCTGGCTGCGGGGAAATGGAGCCGCCCACCCTGCCGCCTGGGGCAAGCACGGCAGAAGTAGTGACACCGCCGGTATTTCTCTTGGCAGGGGTGCCGTGTTCCTCCAAACACGCTCTCTCCGTCCTAGGTAGGCCTGGTGCAGTTCCCAGGCACAGAGGCCCGTGCCCAGAGGGGCACTGGCAGGACATACGGCAAAGTGAGGAAGGAAAGGAGTGGAGCCCAGGGGAAGCCAGGTCAGAGTGAGGTCACCCATTCAACCTTCTCCTCATAAATGTGCAGCCCGCGCGTTGGTAGTCCTGGCCCAGCAGCAGGCCAGGCGAGCTGACCGCGACGACGTGCGCGCCCCTGGCCTCCGATGCAACCCGCCGCGCCCCCTCGCCTGCACTAGCTCCCCCTACCCTTACCCCGGCGCCCGCGCCCGCGCCCGCGCCCGCACCCACCTTGACAACGTAGGTGACTCCGGCTCCCAACACCTGGTCGCTGGCGTGCGGGGCGCGCGGCGGCAGCTCGTCGCCCGGCCGGCCCTTCCTGGCGGCGCGCATGGCCGGGGCGCGGGGGCCGGGGGCCGCGCTGCCGTCCGGGGCGGCCAGGCTGGGCGCGCTGCAGCTGCCCGAGAGCCGCGAGCCCGCCCGCTCCCTGACAGCGGACAGGCCGCGGAGGCCCGAGCTGGAGAGTTTCAGGTGGGACACCTTGTGGAGCAGGTGGCCCAGGCTGCCCGGCCCATCATCGGGCGCCCTGCGGAGCGCGTCTTCGGACACCAGGTAGGGGGCCACCTCCGGGCCCGCACGCGCCGCGGAGACCTTGCCGCCGCCGCTCACCGACAGGTTGTGCAGAAGGTCATCGACCGATGTCACCGAGTCATTCCTGAAGCGGTTGTACTTGGTGCGTGGAAGCATGCCCCTCCGTGGGCTCGCCGCATCCGCCCGGGCGCTGCAGGTGCCGGCCCCCGCGCGGGCAGCCGCGCATCGCAGGCGAGTCGCGGCCGGGGCGGACGGCGCCGGACGGCCTCCCCGCTAGCAGCGCGCTGGGCCGCGCAGCCCCGGCCCTGGGCTTGGCTGAGGAGGGCGGCGCGCTCGCCGCGCAAAAGTCATAGTTTCCGCTGCTGAGTGCCCAGCTGCTCAGGGCTGCTCACAGCAAAAGCATGACTCACTCTGAGAGGGGACCCTTCTCAACAAAGGCTCGGTGAGCACAGCAAATCACTTCCTGTAGCAAAAAAAAAAAGAAGAAAAAGCCACATACACCCACTGACAGCACACTTGAGCCAATCAATTCTCAAATTTCCTTTTCTACCTTCCCAGACATTCTCTCCCAAGCTCTGGTTTTTCGCCTCACCATCCCCCTACTTCAGCATTTGTGCCAGAGGTCAGTCCAGTCCCTCCTGATGATCAGGTGAACTTCATGGAACCCGCTATCCTATGCTAGAGCTTTCTAGGGCTTTCTGTCCCCGTCAGCCCGTCTGTGTGAGCCGTGGAAGTGTCTGACAGCGATCGTTAAAATGTGACGAAGGCTTTTTAAGAATAAGATCTTCAGCGGATCCTCATGGATTCTGATTTGGAAAGCAGCAGGAACTGGTAAATAACTGAAACATTTTTTTAAAAAGGAAATATACACTCTCAGGTGAACATAAAATACCAGTTTCCTGGGTTTTTCTTTTTTCTGTTCAAATCAACGGAGCAGCCATGACAAGTGTCTTTGTGGCAATGCAGTTTCTCAAAAAAAAAAAAAAAAAATCTGCATAGGAACTTCTGCTCGGAGCCAGTGAGGGTGTCCTCCCTGCTAATTCGCAGCAGTCTTTCTCAGCCAGGGTTAAGCTGAACACCTACTTCCCAAAGAGAAGAAAGAGCGCTTCTTTCATGAAAGGCAACAGGCTCCAGGAACCCATTCCAAAAAGGGGGCTGTGCTGGGAGCTTTATCCCAGCTGAACGTGCCCACGCTCTGGAAACATGCCTAAGAAACGCGGCAAACACCGTTCAGTGTCCCTTCCGTTGCCACTTGCAACCCTGCAGTAAGGGAGGAAAACATGCAGCTGATCCGTCACACAGCAAATCCGCAGGGAAAAGCCTCTGTTGAAGCTTCAGACTCGGGCTGCAAATGACACCCACAGGCCTCCTTCCTCGGCTGAGAGAACAGGGTACCAGCAGCCCCCATAAGGTCTGCGGAGACCCAAGCCCACCGACTCCTGTCCCGTGGGCTCTGTGGCCTTCCTCATGCACGGAGACAATCTGCCCCAAGCGTGAACAGCTCCTTGTCCAAGTTTCCAGGCAACTCTGTGCAAGCAAATGAATTTACCTCTAGCACGTTTTCAGGTCACCCTGCGTCTTCTCACACCCACGCCTAGACATGTGACACACGAGGCACCGAGCCTAGCAGAGCTCATGCAAAAGGGCGGCAGGAGTGCCAGGCCTGGAGCGCCAGGTGAGGGCCCAGCTGGGCGCAGGGGCGCGGGGGCGCAGCGGCCCCTCCCAGGGCGCAGGCCTAGCCCGGCCTCCAGGCACTCTCCTTCCCCAGCTGGCTGCTTGCATAGCAACAGCAAGGCACACCCCACGGAGGAGGGTGACGGTTAGCAAAGCCCCCCAAATCTGGAGCAAAAGCGCCCTGTCATTCCTGAACCGTGATCTCCATGAGAAGTAGACAAAAACAGCAAACTGTGAATGAGCTGGTGTCTGCGTGAATGAAAGGCCAGCGAGGAGCCCGGTTTCTGTGAATGAAGCGGCCGCCAGCCGCGCCAGGCAGTCCCCGGCTCCGAGGCCTCCGCCAATGAGCGGCCGCCCCGGTGACTCATTCAACAAAGGCCCGCTCCATAGTGGAAGATTCCATTTCAATCAAAGGCGGGACCTTTCCTCCTCTGCAGTGTGGGAAAAAAAGCCAGCCTGGACACAAAATGCAGTGAAGAAGACACCGCTGTCGTGGGGAAGGAAAAACTAGATTTCTCAGGAAATTCAAGAGCTATGGGTCACGTATGTGCGAACACAATCGCCCTCTTGGAGGTGAGCTGTGCCCCAAACTTCCATTCAGCTGTTCATTTACATCAGGAGCAGCCATGAATGTGCCCTTCGGCTCAGCATTTATTATGAATGTACAGCCAATGCACATTCAAAACCTAGGCTCCTCGCCCTGGATTCTTTTTGTGAAAGGAACACAAGAACACGCGTGAACAGTGTGACTCTCCCAGTAGGAAAAAAAAATTGAAAGCTGCACAGTTAACCCTTTGGCCAACAGGAGACTTATTTCTTTTACTATGATGAGCTCTTTATTGTGATGAGCCATTTCTTTTATTGTGGAGAGAATTTGGCCATTTTAAAATTGAACGGCAGTATAAATTTACTACAGATAGGAAGGTATATAATCAAGGAGACTGATTAATATGCCAAGAATGTAAAAGCACAGTAAAAGCTCACTGATTGGGAAGACAGTTACGCATTTTGGAACACGCAGGGAAAGCAGAATGAAACTTCAAAGGCATCTCAGCCCCAAAAGAGAAGCTGCAAGCCCAGCTCAGAAGCCCTTGCCCACCCAGCTTCCTGGATTGCCCTGGGGTTCCTCCCTGGAGGCTGTTACTGCCTATTTTAGACCCTACCCAAAAGCTGAATGTCTGCCTTATCAGCCTGTGACAGCCTAGAGATGGATGACAGAGTCGGCCACACAGAAGAAAATAGAAAAATGGAAACCTCTATAAATCTGGCCTTGAGGGTCAAGAAAACCAGGCAGCCTGGGGCCATTTATAGTGACCTTTCCAGAATACTGTAGTTTTCCTTTTTAAATCTATTACTTTAAAAGTGCACTGGCTTTCTGTTGCTGCTGTAACCAATGTTTTAAAATGACACAAACTGACTATCTCCCACACCTTAGGTCAAAGGTCTGAAATGGGTCACACAGAAATAAAGTCAACGGGTGGGTAGGGGCCACTCTTAGAGTTTCCAGGGGAGAATCCCTTGCCTTGCCTTATTCTGCTTCTAGAAAGCACACATTCCTGAACGGGGCCTTGGGAGAATGGGTTTCCCCCTAGAAGGTTTCACTCTTGCCAGAGAAGCAGGAAATCTAAGATTAATATTATATCCCAGGATATTATGTGGATTTTTAAATATGTGTGGGATACAAGAACTCTTCAGAGGAGAGTGTTCTGACCTTGGCCCAAGGATATCAGGGGTGATTTCCATGGGGATGACCCTCAAGCAGAGTTTTGAGGGTTGCTGGGATCTTCCAGGTAGAGGGAAGGGGAAAGACACCTCACGAGAAGGCACAGTGTGAGCAACAGCTCAGTAATGCCAGAATCCCATGGAGACTGGTTGGGTTGGCAGGAATGTTGGGAGGTCAGGCCCTGAAGAAGGTCCGACCCAGGGATCCTGCAATGACCCATAAGTCCCCTATGATGTGCTGTGTGGGCAAGCGCAATGCACTAGGCTTGCATTTTGTCTGAATGCTCTGACAGTGCTGTCAGCGGCTCAGGAGAGCTGAGGGAAGTAGACAACAGTCCAAATCAAACAGGATGGGGTCTGGAGGGAAGGCAAGCACAGCAGGACAGAAAGGAGAGGAGGGGTTCAGGGTGTGGAGAGAAAGTTAAATGGTCTGTATGACTGGAAGGATGAGGCAGGGGGCAGGCTGGTTTCTTTGGAGGCAGAGCTGAGATAGAGTTCCAAGTGCAATGTGCTGGTTAGGGACCAAGCTCTGTGGACAGCAGCAAGCGACTGCAGGATTAGGGAGAGGGAGAAGTGAACTGTGTAAAGCCTAGGGGGAGCTCCCAAGGGCCCCCCTCTTCTGCACTCACTCAGCTGCCCAGGGGCATGGCCTCCAGCCAAGCTGCTTCTGCAGCTGAGCCCTGAAGAAGTAGGCAATGGAGACCTGCATCCCACAGGGGGCAGCAGGGCAGGAGGCCTGCCGTGGAGGGCTCAAAGCAGGGTCCTGTGCGTCTCCTTTGGAGAGGAAGGTAGAGCAAAGGCTACACTCCTGACATGAATGCTGAGGCTGAACACTCCCGTCCACCAGATGAATGGGTGGTGGAGGAGGGCAAGGCTGGGTCCTGCATGCCAGGAGCCCAGGAGCAGGGCCATGTCCAGGGCAGCTGTCCAGGGCTGAGGAGCCAGCATGGCTGAACATCATCAGCACAGGTGGCACTGAGCTCTTTAGTGTCTATGCAAACTTAGGAAGAAAGTGAGAAAGAAGGAAGCACCAGACTTCTAGGATGGGGGCTAAGAAACACTGTCATTAGTGGGAAGGTACATATGGAAGCCTGTTTGGGTGGATATCTGAGTTCAGGGCTGCTACAACACAATACTACAGGCTGGGCGTCTTTAACAACAGTCATTTATTCTTCACAGCTCTGGAGGCTGGAAGTCCATGGTCAAGGCTCCAAAAGAGTAGGTGTTTGGTGAGAACCCACTCCCTGGTTCATAGATGGCTGTCTTCTCTCCCATGTGCTCACATGGTGAGAGGGTGAAAGCCTCTGGGGTCCCTTTTATAAGGACACTGATCCCATCATGAGGGCTCCACCCTCATGACCTTCTCACCTCCCAATGGCCCCACCTCCCTAACACCGTGCCTTTGGGAGTTATGTTTTAGCATATGGATTTGGGGGATACAAACATTTGTTTCAAGAGAAAATCAATGACAGTTGACAAGAGCAGTAGTAGCAGTAGTAACTACTTTGAGCATCCCCTGTGCCAAATGATATATACCCAGCGTCTACTTCAGATCCCAGGGCTGTGAGATAGAGTTTAATTTACATCCCTTTCTGCACAGAAAGAACCAAGGATCAGAGGATTTATGAAGAGTGGTGGATCCATGCAGGGTTAGGAACTGGCCCAACTGCCTGACTCCAAATCCATGTGTATGGCCAGAGACACACCCAATGCAGAGAGCTTGAGTCAGGTACACACTGGTAATCCCCCTTGGAGGTGGCAAAGACCCATCACAACACCTTAGCAAGAAGGGGGGACTGCCACTTAGCTCACAGGATGGCACCAACCCAATAAGAGATGAGAAAGTAGATTTAAAAAAATATCATGCTTTCCAGAAGACCGAACGCAATGAAAGAGCAAATGTGGGGCAGTGGCTGGAAGTTCAGCAGAGTATAGAGCTGGAGGAAAGAGTTGTACTGTGTACAGTAAGTGAGTAGGGCAGAATGGAAGAGAGGACACCCAAGAAACAGGAGGGTAAGCATAGTGGAGCTGCCACCCTTGAGTAGCTGGTGGGAGAGGGGTTGGGAAACAGATTGTTTAGGGTTATGATGCCAACAGGTGGTTTCAAGGAAAAGATGCTAGTGCGCAAACACTTTGAGAGACAGGGTTAAGGGAGTGCAGGTGATGATGGCACACCAGGATTCTAAGAGCCAGAAGTCATCCCTCCCTTTGGGGCTGAAGGAAAGGAATACAGTGAAATCTCTGCAGCTGGTGGAATTGCAGCTGAATTTTGGAAGGGTTGCCATAGTGAGCTGTAGTTTTGGAATAATAAAGTTATTGACAGAGAGGCAGAACCTATGAAGGGAGAAAACAGGGAAGAAATGCCCCAGCCTCTGTCTCCCCACTCTCTGATTTCCTGTTGGTGCTGCCCATGGGCCCAACCCATGGGAAACCAGAGGTCCAAGGAGCCTGGTTATGGGGGTTGGGGCACAGTGAAGGCTGGGCAGGGTAGGAGGAGATGGGCCAGAGCCAGCACAGTGAGAGTGTCTGCAGATAAATTTCTCTGTGGCCATGATAAGAAGCCAAAAGACTTTTATGCCTGACTTGAATGTTACGCCTGATTTTCTCTGTAACATAAAAGGCAAGGTTGTACATAAAAACTGAAAGGGATCCATTTCAGTAACCGTGAGTTGAGAGTGAACGCTTAGTGTGCCTGCTGAGGCAGACAGAAGGCACTGCTAACAAATGAGGAAGAGGAAGGTGTCTCTGTGTGGCATTGGGAGCCCACCAGGTCTCTGTGGTATCCTCTAGGGCAGAGGTGATTTTCTCTAAAAGGTTTTATCTACCTACATGTGAGCTGGAAGAAGGTGAATCACTAGATGAAGGTTCATTCAAGAATGCAGACAGGGGAGGGAGCGAGAGGAGAATGCAGGCTAGCAGGAGTGGTGATGGGCCGTGTGGAGGGAAGTACAGAGACAGAAGCAGCCGCCCAAGGAGGACCCAATACAGGAACAGTGGCCTTGAGGTCCTGGAAAGGTGGCAGCCTGAACTGTTGGTGATGCAGGGAACTGTATGGGAGCAAAAGGTCCCCGATGGTGCCCCTGAGACACAGGTGGGAAGAGGGAGCAGCCTCACCAGAGGGCAGGGAAGGAGGGGGAATCTCAGTTTCAGTGAAGCCAGAGATTGGTAACACTATGGGAGGAGGCTGGGGATGGAAGCTAGCTCATTCCTGATGACAACGGAAAAGGCTGATGGCACAGGAAGAGAGAAAGAGCACAGGACATTTAGAAGGGAAGAAGTACCAGCCACACCTAAACTGGCAGAAGTTGTGGGCACCTGACTTGGGGGAGTGCACCAAGACTGAGGTGGCAGGCATGCTGTCTGCAGAGTCCCTCGGGTGTCCACCCTTCCAGGTGTAGGAATGTCTGTGGTATAAGAGTACTCTGTACCTCGGTTCAGAACTGAGGACAGCACCTCATGCTTCAGCACCGAGGACAGCTCCTTCGACCCTGAACTGCGGGAATCCTGGAAGGAGCCTAGGCCAGCTCTGCAGAAAGCTCCCAGGGCCCCAGGACCTCTCCACAAGTGCTTTTCCTTTTTCTAGGGTTCAAATGTTGTCCAGGCAGCTCTAGCTGCCCACACTCACATGAGCAACAGGGCGAGGATCACTCATCCTGCATTCTCAGGGGTCACTACTGAGCAACTACTTGCCAAGCCAGGCCCTGTACCGAGCCCTTCATGTGAGCCTGTCAAGTCATCACAACTCTTACTATCTCTTACTATCACCCCATTTTACAGATGAGAACATTGAGACCGGGAGGGGTTGAGTGACTTCACAATGTGACCCA